ATGATATTTGTAAGTATTGTGGGGTTTGGTAAAATTTTTTTTTTTTTTTTTTTTTTTTTTTTTTTTTTTTTTGACAGAAAGCGAATTAATGGAAATTGTTAAATAATAATTATAAGGGAAGAAATGTGAATTGTTGTTTGATTTAATTATCTATCATCATTCGTATATACCGAATTTATTTTGATTATTTTTCATCGTATATTAATCTACTTGTTACATATGATGCAATTGATTTTTCTTTTTTTGTGATTCTTTTTTGCTTCCTTCCACCCCCTCTCCACGCCGTTGTTAATTTGTTGAAGATTTTGTAGAACACTAATGATTTCTCCGAAAGATTGATCGGCATAACGAAAAAGCGTAAAAAGCGAATCGATAAAAATTCCTGAGACCTCTGCGAGGAATGGCCAAGGTAAATCTTACGTCCCTGTTCGTTGATTTTCTTCTCTCTTTTCGCGAGATCATCATCATCGTCGTCGTCGTCATCCTTCTTTATTCTTCGTGAGAAAATAAAGAATAAACAAAGAATACGATTCCCGGAAGTCATATTACGCCGAATGGTTTTTACGAAAGAAAGATCCGAGCTTAGAATTTCTAACATATTGTCGAGGGGTCTACAAAAATTTCTGCACAGTTTGGTTTTTTTATTGCAAATAAAAAAACACATTAGCTATTATACAAATGAAAGATTCCTTCGTAGTATTTATAATGACGTGTAATCGAATAAATATTAACATGCATCGGAAAAAAAAATTAACGTATGAAATGAATATACGAATGGCAAGAAAAAAAAGTGACGTTTAATCTTAAAAACAAATGAATTATAAATAAATATGATGAACACAAAATTGTCGAAAGATTTAGATTAGAAAAATAAGATTTATAAAAGGGCTTTTTCTTTCTCTCTCTTTCTCTCTCTTACAACTTCCAAACGATCACCCACGTTCAATACCCGGTGTCCAATAAATGCAGACAAGCGTATACTCTCTCTCTCTCTCTCTCTCTCTCTCTCTCTCTCTCTCTCTTACACGGATTCACACACGAATTGGAAACAGCCATCAACAGGAATAGCAGTAGCAAAAGCAGCAGCAGCAGCAGTAGCAGCACCAGAACAGCAAGAGCAAAACCACCCCTTTAAGGATGACCAACGTTGAACGTCTTTTAGCTGCTCCTGGCAGCTCACTCTACGTCTGCGTATCTTCACCTACACGTTTAGAAATTTGATTGTGTTGGAAACTCGCAGCTACGACGACGAGGACGACGACGACGACGACGTTGTTCAATGGGGTGGGACAGGGTGAACGAATGGGGGAGAGAAATAGAGAGAGAGAGAGAGAGAGAGAGAGAGATAGGTTCCATGAGATGGTTCGAGAGTTAGGGGTTGCTGGTGTGTCCAGTCCACTTCAGTGAAGCCCAGGGCAGACCGTTCGATCAATAGAGGGTAGAAGCTACACGTTTCTAGGAGGTGGACACACACCACCCCTTACCATCCCTTCTCGTACACTCGACGATGTTCAGGGCGAGCCACTTTCTATCCGTTTCATCGAACCAACTTTAGATTTTCTTCACATTTTATACTTCTTTTCTTTTTCTTTTTTTCTTATTTAATTTGTCTCCTTTTTTTTTCTCCTTTTTTCATTTTTTTCTAAAAAAGCATAAACTAACATCGTTGATCAAAGATTTGATAGACATTCGTAAAAGTATCTTTTGATTGTATTACGTATAGATAAATAATAAAAGTAACGATGATTCGTCGATTAAATTTCGTTCATAATGTAATTGCGGTGTGAAAATTATGTCTTGTTGGAGTGTTTAATATAACGAAGTTTAGATGTTTAGTTTTTCGAATATTACAAGAATGTATGTCTGCTCAAATGAAAAAGACGTTGAACGTTAGAGATTGAATTGCTGAATAAGTCCCAATAAAGGGACGAAACGTCCAATTTGATCAATACTAAGTACTAGTTCTTTTTAAAATGTCCAATTTACCTACGATACATATTTATTAATAATTTTATTTTTCGAGACGAGAAAAATAACTAATTGAATTGATAAGAAAGAGAGAAATATAGGATGAAAGAAGAAGAAGAAGGTGGAGGGGTGGGGGGGTTCATTGACCTGATAAAAAAAATGACGACGCGGTTTGGTAAGAGTTTGAGCATTTGGTAGTTTCTTGATCCAATTATCTCGTGTCCCTTGTCGGGATCAGTGTGCTACGCCATTGGTCTGCGGGGTCCGGACCGCCGGGCCGTTTGTTTTGTAAGTCTAATCGCAGAACGGCTCTCCGGTGGTCCACCTCAGTTCCCTCTTCTCCTCCTCCTCATCTTCATCCTCCTCCTCCTCCTCTTCTTTCTCTTTCTCTTCTTCTTCTTCTTCTTCTTCTTTAAAATAAAATGGCGGCTGGTGGCTGGCGACGATCGTAGGAAGGAGAGAAAAGGAGGAAGGGAGGGGGGTTAATAAAAGAAGAAGATGAGGAAGGAAGAAGAAGAAGAAGAAGAAGAAGAAGATGAAGAAGAAGAGGAAGAACGATAAAAGAGGGAAAAAAAAAAGAAATGGAAAGGAAAGAGGAACGACCACCAAGAGTACTTTCGTTCGTTCTTTTCTCGACGCAACGGCGGCTTGGTCCTTCCCTTTCCTTCCTTTCTTTCTTTCCTTTCTTTCTTTCTTTCCTTCGCGTACGGTGGCGCCATGACCAACGCTCCTGACAGCCATAAGAAAACAAAAAAATATAAAATATGGTGAGAGAAAAAGAGAGGGAACATCTTATACGGCTATTCTACGGCTAGAAAATTACTTCTTTTTTTTTTATTTTGTTTTTTTTTTTTTTTAAGTAATTCTTCTTGTTCAACATTTTTATTTTCAACATATTTTTGTTGGTTGGTTGGTTGTTTAAATAATAAAACGAGAAAATAATTAGAAATTAAGAAATTTTCCTTACGTCTATGTAATGTGTTTTAATTGGAAAAAAAATATTTGTTATTTTTAAATTAAATACGAAAAGAAATTGATTAATTCAATTAGAAATATTACTTTTTCGTTGTTAATGATTAAAAAACAATTTCATTTTGCAATTCTGCGATCGAAGTTGAACAAAGATTGGGAGAAGGATTATTACATATTGGATGATTATCTATAGGTCAGCTGAAGAAAAAAAAATAAAAGACAAAAACCACCACCACCACCACCATCACCTGAGTGCAGCCATAATGATATTGGTTTAGGATCCCTATAATAACTATTATAGAAAAAATT